GGAGAGCCCGGGCGAGCGGGGGGCTGCCTTGGGCGTGTGACGGGGTCGGGGGCGGTGGGAACCCCTGCGGTTCGTCGTGGAGGGGAGGGGAGGCGCGGCGACATGCTGCCATTGGATTCCCCTCCCGGCGGCGGGCACGCTTTGGAGTGCGGGTTTTGGGGGGCGCCGGGGGGGCGCGCTACGTTCTACTCTCCTCCCGGTGCCGGGGAGGCCCAGCGATGCCTCCTCCTGCCGCCCTTTCTTCCCGAGTTTCCAGCACCCGAAGCCTCCGGGTTCGCGTGGAGCGCGTGACTCCGGGCGGCCTTTCCCGCGCCCGTGCCTCGGTTTACCCGTTGGTCCCTGGCTGGCCCGGCGGCGCTCGCGCGCGCAGCGTCCTCGCGAACGGAGGGGCCTTCCGCCGGAGAACAAAAGTTCTCTCGGGCGCTGTGCGGTAGCCGTATTTGGGTGGACGCCCCGAGCTGCCCGGGCACATTTGGTTTCCTCGGAAATGTTGACCTGTTCACGCATCGGAAGCGGGGCTTTTTGATTGACGGACACACGGAGCCCGGGATATTTTTCGTGCGTGGATGAATACTTGATGTACAGGAAGTTCCTCGCCAGTGTGCGGCTCCTTTGCCCCGACTGGTTCCTTAGGGATTTTTCCAGAACTTTGTCGAATGGCCATTGGGTCCGTCTAACCTAGCCCAGCCCATGGCACTTTATCTTTTTCCACCTTAGCCCTCTCCCCAGCGGCCTTTCACATAAATCCACATACCGCATTTTGGACCTAGGTACTTGTTATTTCCACATCCCTTGAACTGCACCGTTTCTCAAATGCAAAAGGTAGTTTTCTGTAGATCGTTTCTAATGCTCTTTTTTTGAGGTTGGTGGTGGTGTGTGGTTGAGTGAGACATGGTTGAAATCAAGTGCCTTTATCCTTGAGAAATTTTTTTTCAATTAAAGCATTTATTTTTAAAGATGTAGGGCCCTTGTTGAAAGAGCTCCCGACCTAGTCTCCTTGTATCACTGGAAATTAGAATTCAAGGATTGAAAAATTAGGGGGAAAACGCCAGCCACTAGAACTCACATTTAGGAGACATTTGCACTGAATTTCTTCTTGTGAGTCCATATATTGCTATTACTATTGAACAAGGTTCACATTGGGAGAAGGGAGGGAAATAAGATGGGGATGTACAGCTCAAGGTCAAATTTGTCTTTATTTCAGTGTTTAAAATTCAAACAAATGTAGATGTGCTTGCAATGGAAGTCCCCGCGGGGTGGCCCCCCCTAACCCCTCTCTTGGGAGGAAACATGAAATTACATTTGAATCCTTTTTTTGTTCTGTAGGAATTTAGGATCTGTGTAGACTTGGTGTGATAACTAAAAAGGATGTGGTTTTTTAATTTGAACTTATTTTAAAAACATCTAGAAATTCAAGACTGTAGCTTCAAACAAATGACAGTTTAGGCAATAATTACATTGTGGGGTTGGGTTCAGAGGGTTTTTGAGCAAGGTGTTTATTGGTTCTTCAACCTAGAAACTATTGCTGAAACACTTGGTTTCCCTTTCAGAATATAAATCAAACTTACTGCCACTAAGTCCTTTCTGATGGCATATAAGGTTTTTGAGGCACAGATAAGATAGCCTTATTGTCTACTGGAGTGGTCAGTGGGATTGAACTACTGACTTTGCATTTACCAAACCCACCACCATCAAGTTGATTCTGACTTAAAGTGACCCTGTGCTTATAGACTTGAGAGATTGTATATCTTTGTGGGAGCAGCTGGACATGTTCAGCAGAGGGCCTAGTCAGAATCGGAAGGGTGGCATGGAACTAAACTACAAGGTGGGGAACAGAAGAGTCCATGGAAAGGATGAAGAAGAGGAAGACTGCCCCCAGGAATAAAGCCTCTCCCTCTGAACATTAGGTGAACCCATGACTGCCTCACCTTCCTAGAAGCAGATTGCTAGGTCTGCCTTTCAGAGTAAACCTCTGGGTGGGTTGAGTGCACAACTATTTTTGCTACCTAGGGACTCCTGCAGATGTATACTCAAAAGCTAAAACTCACTGCCATCGACTCGATATCGACTCACAGCAACCCTGTAGGACCGGGTAGAACTAATTGCCCCTTTGGGTTTCCCAGACCGAAGCCTTGTCTTCCTCCTGCAGAGCTCCTGCTGACCTTGTTCTTAGCAGCCCAACACTTAACCGCGGTCTCACCAGGGATTCCTTTATTGAGTGCAATACCGATTTAATTTTATTTATGATGACAAAAAGTCCCATAGTTTCTGGTCACCAAACACATTTACTACTAGGTTTGGGGGTGGTAGAAAGGTGAAGGTGCACTTGAGTGATTTATTTTTTTTTTGAATACTTGGATATAAAAGTTGATTTTTTTTCAAACAATCATCCTCACTTTTCTCTTGGTTGCATTTCCTCCCCCCCATCCTTCCACTTATGGATGTTTATTAGGAAAATTAATGTATTACCAAAAGTAGTATCAGTACAAAGCCCACAGCAATATTTGTACTTAGCTAGCAACCAAGTATCTGGTCCTCAACCTCACATCCATGTGATCCTTTGGCCTCTGCCATTATGGATCAGGAAGCACATCCGTTGCTCTCATAGTCCCACAGCCTCAGTGCTGCTCCTCTCGTGTCCCAGAGTCTCCAAGTCAGTCTGGTGCTTCCAGTCTATGCCTCTGCCACTTGAGGCCGAGATCTGCAATGTACACTTTCTCGCTCTGCCCCTGCTTCAAAGATGGCTCATCCTTATAGCTGGGGGTGGGGGTGGGGGTGGGGGTGCGTTCCCATTCCCTTGTTGCATTTTGCATGCTCTGTTGAACCTAATGACCCTAGAGGAAGAGCTAGGTAGTATGCAAGTTGGTGTCCAACGTGGTTCACTCACCTTGAAGATTAAATCTAGCTTCCCATCATCACTTTTATATAAATGAGTAGTCTAGGGAATACTTTAAAGGCTTGGCAATTGCTTTATGTTAAGGTTATAACCAAGAAAGCTGAATTCCAAACCCACTGCCACTGAATTGATTCTGACTCACTGCAACCCTAGGTAGGGTTTCAGCGGCTGTAAGTGTGTATTGGAGCAAACAACCCCGTCTTTCTCCTGTGGAGGGACTGGTGACCCTCCATCTTGAGGTTAGCAGTCTAGTGTTTACCCCAGCATCTCTTCACTCCAAGAGTGAGCATTTTCTCAATGGCAACAGAGACTGAGTAGATTTTGGAGGGGTTGAGTAAACTGCATTTGGGCTTTTGTGGGTTACCAGATGGCTTTGTTTTCTCACTTTCTCCTCTGAAGATGAGCTCCATAGGAGGTGAGGGAAAGTTCTGATGCATGAACGTATCACCTCCAGGAATGCATCTCTCTCTCGAATAACTAGTTAGGAACTGCGACTCTTTAATACAGTTCCTCATGTTGTGGTGACCCCAACCATAAAATCATCTTCGTTGCTACTTCATAACTGTAATTTTGCTACTGTTATGAATAGGGTGACCCCTGTGAAAGGGTCATTCGCGACCCACAGGTTGAGAACTGCTGTCCTGATAAATGCCTTGTTCAGGAAAAATAGATAATAATAAGTTAACTTAGTAATGTGTTTAAAAACATTAAGAACATATATTAAGTATTAAGAGTAAATATTAAGAATAAAAATACCAAATCTTTGACTGTAGGCCAGTAAGAATTTTTAAGTTGCTCTTTCAGTAAGTGGACCAATTTCCCTACTTAATTCAGTACACAGGATTGGGGAATGAAATTTAAAAAAATCCTTCTGACAGGTCCCTTTTAGTCTAAGTATAAAATCAGGTGTTCTTTTGTGTATACTTTATAGACTTTTGCACAGTGTTGTGCATATTTCATGCTATTTTGCTTAGAAAAAGGAATAAAATGGAGTCACTACAATTGGTGGTATTGGGTAGATTCTTAATATTAGGAGCATTCTTTGACACCTTTTCACCGAAAACTTCAGACAAGTATTAAACAGAAAATTTTGGTTCCAGTAAGTGCTTCAAGCACACACATTAAAAGTTTATACAAATAATTTCATTTAGAATGAGGGGCAGTGCGGAGTGAGGACCCAAAGCCCATCTGTAGACAACTGGACATCCCCTTACAGAAAGGTCACGGGGAGAGACGAGCCATTCAGGGTGCAGTGTAGCAACAATGAATCACAACTTTCCTCTAGTTCCTAAATGCTTCGCCCCCCTCATCATGATCCCAATTCTACCTTATCAGGCTAGACCAGAGGGTGGATGTACACTGGTACAGATAGGAACAGGAAACGGAATTCAGGACAGATGATCCCTTAAGGACTGGTGGTGAGAGTGGCGATACTGGGAGGGTAGAGGGAAGGTGGGGGAGGAAGGGGGAAGGGCAACAGAAAAGTGGGTAGAGATGTTAGACAGTG